CTCACTCACTCACTCTCACACACACAAACAAACAAACAAACAAACTCTCTCACACACACACACACACACACTCTTTCACACACACAAACACACTCACACACACACACACACACACACACACACACCAGTAACACCCTCTTTACACCTGGTATTAACATCTGACTCGGATGGTCTGAGCATAAGTGGACGACACTAAATACCAGACCAGTGCTGTTACTGTAAACTAAAACTATTAGAAATATTTTATATTAAATTAAATAATGCTGAAATAACAAAGTAAAATATAAATATTACATCAAAAACTTAAACCTAATAAATACATTTAAGTACTAAAATTACTGACACATAAATATAATGAAATATTTGGAAATTATAAATAAAAAATATATTAAAAAAAATATTGAACAACTAAAACTAATTAAAATTACAAAAGTACATAAAACTACTCAAACTTAAATTAAATCAAAGCTGAAAATAAAAAATTAAAAGCTCATTCAAAATGTTACTAAATAGTATATAAACAATACTCTAATAACATTATTTTAATAGTATATAAATACCAAAATAAACAAATTAAATGTAAAAAGTACTAAAACTGAAATAATATAATTTAAATAGAAATAGAAATATGAAATAAAAACTAATGAAAATGACAATCACATAAAAACTACTAAAACTTAAAACTGAAAATATAAAATTGATATAATAAATAATAATAAAAAAAATATATATATATAAATATAATAAATATATAAATAATACTAAAATAAACAAAAATATAATTAAAACTAAAACTAAATGAGTTTAAGTACCAAAATTAGTCCAACTAAATCTGAAATAAATATATAATCAAAATGTAATCATTAATTTCATCACAACATTGTGAAAAACTTTCTAATTATTAATGTTATAAATAATACTAAAATAAACAAAAATATAATTAAAACTAAAACTAAATGAGTTTAAGTACCAAAATTAGTCCAACTAAATCTGAAATAAATATATAATCAAAATGTAATCATTAATTTCATCACAACATTGTGAAAAAATTTCTAATTATTAATGTTTTCAGATTTGCTGAATATTACATTTACATGGTTATTAAATTATTCATGTTTTTAAATATTAACTTAACACATTAATTTACATATGCAATTCTCTCAAATGATACAGAAATGACACACTGCGACTTCAAAGACAGTTCTGTTATGCAGTGCAGTTTAAAAACATTGGACCAATCAGAAGAATCTGGGGGCGGGGCGAGTGTTTATTGTAACATCTGACTGCTCTCAAATCCTCTTATTAATATCTGAATCCTGGCTCAGTGTTGATGGTTTTGGAGGCGTCTCACCTTGTCGGCGTTGTCGGCCGCGAGCAGGTTGGTGGCGAGCGTCTGCAGCTTGTGTTGGGCCATGTTCTTGAGCGCAGCCAGACTGCGGCGGGTCATGGCCTGCTTCAGGTTCACCGCGGGGTGATTGAGGGAGTCCAGAGCGGCGGGAACCACCTCGTCACACGCGTTCAGAATCTCCACTGCCGTTATACCCATCACACAGCGGTCCAGTGCTCCTGAAACACACACACAAACAACACACTCAATACAGGAGTTATCCGCTACTGTGTAATCTAAATTGTAATCTTCATTTAGTTTATGTGAAAGTACTAAAACTGAAATGAAAATTAATTTAAAAAAAAATTAAGACATTTTTAAAAAAATAAAAAAATGACAAAAA